CTCCCAGTATTGTCACTCACACCACTGGTTCTGAAGGGATCATCTGTCCTGGATTCCCTGTGTTTCCAGTTCCTATCTGTACCAGTGTTCACCCTCTGGTCTAACCAGATTTGTAAGGTGCAATTGGGATCATGGTAGTGGGAGGGGGGGAGGCGGGGAGGGAGCATTTAGAAACCAGAGGAAAGTTGTATTTTTCATCGTTGCTACATCGCTCCCTGACTGGTTCGTCTCCTCCCCAAGACCCCTCTGCAAGGGGATCTCCAGTGGCCTACAAATGGGCTTTGGGTCTCCACTCCGCACTCCCCACCTCATTCGCCATGGTCTCACTGTGCGATCGATCCACCAATGCGAGCACTTGTACTTCTCAGCATATATCATGTTCTTGGACTTCAGACCTTTTGCATCTAAATTAATTGCTGTCACTCGCTTAAGTAGTATTTCTACCAAAAATTGTCTGCACTCTCACTCCTATCATGAGCACACCAAGTCTGGAATTGTATCGGTTCTATGTTTATCCATGGATTCTATGTAAACTCTAAGCACAACACCCACGCCTTCTTGGCAACTGTTCCAATATTCCGTCTGCTAGTTAAAAGCCTCCACTGAATAATTTAGTAAAGACACAAAGCCTTGGCTTATTTATCATTTTACCCCATTTTTACCATATTGGATTGCTTATGCTAATTATGTACCAAAATATTTGTGGAATGAATGCATGACTTTTGAAACTTAATAACCACATGAGATCATTTTACAAATTTTACATTCGCGTCTATTTTTCAGAGTCCGCTATCTGGCCAAGGATAATGTCACACAGGACCCCAAAACCCACACAGTCTCTTTTGTGCAGCCGAATGGAGCCATCTTCGAACGGTCGCTCTCGGTGGGGCCCGAGGATGACAACATCACAGTTCTCAACCTGGCTGTCGCAGTGAGTACACGGACAAGCATCTGTTTTAAAATGCCCCGACACCCGAAATTGCAGATCATCCCTAGAACTACAGGTTTTGTTTATTTTGCCATTTTAATAAGACGAGTTTTTATATTACAATTAATGGATGTGATCATGTAGAAAGACAGCAAAATAATCTAATACTCAACCAAATTAAAAGCTCACAAAAATGTCCTATTATAAAAAGAAGGGAGAGACTTAACTCAGTTTCTCATCATTTGGCTGATTTAAGTAGAAAACTGTTATCATCTACGGATAAGTTACAGTTTTAGTTCCCTCAGATTTGCCAGTCATTTAAATGATACACTGACAAAAACTTCTTTATTAAACTAAATTCTGGAATTGAGTCTATTTATTGGGTAAAATCTGATATCATATTGGTGTGTTAAAGGGTGATTTCTCTCTTTTTTTAGGCTGCACCCCACCTGTATCCTAATTCCTTTGTTCAGGGGATACTCAACGGACTTATTAAAAGGTCAAAATCTTCCATGTTCCAAACCAGAACTGTAAAAGAGCTCTTGTGGGGTTATACGGACCCATTCTTGAGTTTGGTTCCATATCCTATTCCTACTACAATAGGTGTATTTTATCCTGTAAGTAAAAAATATAAATTGTAGTGATGTTATATGTTAGTTGAATAATTACAGTGCATAAATCAAATATGGTATTTGAATTTAGTGTGTTAACAGTTTTGCTTATCTGGAGTCATATTTTCTAATTAAAATAATAAATCTTGAAATCACATGGTTTTCACTTTTCTAGTTGAGAAAAATTACTTATATGATTTTTAAAATTAATCTTTAAATTAATAACCTCAGATTTCAGTATGTTCTGTAATGCATTTTATAAATATGAAATTTGTCTAAAATTAGCTATATGGTATTTTTTGTTTTGATGCCCTTCCTATAAAATCAAATTGAATATCAACTCTTAATAGATTCTAATGTGTTCATACTATAGTTATTTCTCTAGTTATCTTATAATTATTTCAAGTTTTAAATAATAAAGTTATTCTAAACATTCACATCTCAACCAGATTTTTTAAAAATCATTTTATTAGGGGCTCATACAACTCTTATCACAATCCATACATACATCAATTGTGTAAAGCGCATTTGTACATTCATTGCCCTCATCATTCT